AAAATATAAATTTATTTACATTTTTAATATATAATTTGAAAAAATAAATAAATTTATTTTTTACCGGCTCAATTTCGAGAAAGAAAACGTGGTCATTAATCTTTAATTAAAATATTAAAACCTGGGCCCCGCCGCCGGCAATTAAAACCAATATCGATAAAATTGGCGAGAAACGGCAATTTAAAAATTATGAAAATTCCAGTTCCGACCAAAATGAACTAGCCGTTAGAGGGCAGAGCCACCTCAAATTTGAAATCCATTGGTCACCCCCTCCCTTTCTCTCTCTAATTCCCGTTAAAGACAAAGTTTCAAAAACTCTCCCTTCGCCAAACCCTAGAAACTCTCATCCAAACAAAACCACTGTTTCCGCTCCCATTTCTTCCCTAATTTACTAAATTTTTCTTCTCTTTGATCCTTGAGTTTGGATCTTAGATCATCCTGCTCTGCCTTCTAGAGTAAGTCAGTATGTGAATTTCTTTAAATCTTGTTACTTTCCAAATTCTGCAGGTTTGATGCTCTGTTTTTGCTTTGATTTCGGATGAAATTCGATCCTAAAATGGAAAAACAAATCCAAGGAAGTGAAGTTTCTTTGTATGATTTTAGTTGATTACCGGAACCTTCTGCAAATTAGGAAACTTTTTCTACTAACTAAATTTTGCTTAAATGCTTCATTTTCCAGAAAAATTCCATTATCCGCTATTTATTAGTATTTTTCTTTTGAAGAAATTGCTGAAATGATGTCTAAGTGAAATTTTTGTAAATAAAATACATTTCCCATGATTGAGTATGGTTTTGTAATATAATCAGATACTTTTCTTTTTAAGAAAATAAAATTCTGTTTTTTTTTTTTGGGGGGGGGGGGTTTGTTTGCAATTTTATATATTGATTTAGTTAATAATAATGTGTGCAGTACAGATCTGCAGGTGGGTACTTCCCTAGCTTCTTCCAGGAGACGCTCTGACTGTAACTGTACTACTTGATCTTCTAAGAGAGAAAGTGGGGTAGGTCTGATTAAGGAAGATGACAGTCAGAACCCCTGGAACTCCAGCTACAAAGATAGATAGGACGCCTGTATCGACCCCAGGAGGGTCAAAAGCTAAGGAAGAGAAGATTGTTGTTACTGTTAGATTAAGACCTCTAAGTAAAAGGGAGCAGCTTGCCAAAGATCAAGTGGCATGGGAATGTGTGGATGATCACATGATTGTGTATAAACCCCCACCTCAAGACCGTTCAGCTCAACCGGCTTCTTTTACATTTGGTAATATAATGGCCTACATTATTTCACCTCTTGTGTTTATTATTGATTTATAGCTGTGTGGTCTTGATGTTGTTTAGTTGTTTTTTATTTCTCAGATAAAGTTTTTGGTCCGGTCTGTTTAACTGAAACTGTGTATGAGGAAGGAGTGAAGAATGTTGCTTTGTCAGCTTTGATGGGCATAAATGGTAGTAGACATACTTTGTCTTTAATTGTCTGTTTAGTACCTTGGAGGGCTGTGTTTAGTAACTGATTAAGTCATTTATCTTGTGTCACAGCAACCATATTTGCATATGGGCAAACTAGCAGTGGGAAGACATACACAATGAGAGGAGTGACAGAGAAAGCTGTTAATGACATCTACAATCATATAATGAATGTAAGCTACAATTCAATAAATATGATTGTAATTTCTGCATCGTAATGAAGTTGTAACACTTTGATCTGAGCTCTCTCTCCTTTCTTTTTCTTTTTTTCTTTTTTTTTTTCTTTTTGTGTTCCTTGAATTTGTCACAGACACCGGAGAGAGATTTTACAATTAAGATATCTGGTCTAGAAATTTATAATGAGAATGTTAGGGATCTATTAAATTCAGAATCTGGCCGCAATCTCAAGCTTCTAGATGATCCTGAGGTAAGTTTCTCTACTTTTTCCATAAGAATGAGATGCTCATGGTTTTGAAGCTCTTTCGTTCTATCATTTACCAAATTTCTTGCAATTACAGAGGGGTACTGTGGTTGAGAAGCTGGTGGAAGAAACAGCAAAAGATGATCAGCATTTAAGACATCTGATCAGCATTTGTGAAGGTAATTTATAAAGCACTTGTTTTGATTTAGCTCAGACTGCTTCTCCTAGTTACTTCTCCTAGTTTTTCTCTGATTAATGTTTGAATATGATTATTCTGGTGTTATAGCTCAAAGGCAAGTTGGAGAAACTGCTCTAAATGATACCAGCTCGAGGTCACACCAAATAATAAAGCTGGTAAGTTCCTGAGGTCATGATTTACTTGTGGAGTGACTCTCTTTTTCCTGTGAAGCTAGCCCTTGACTTCCCTTTCCCAACTGATGCAGACAATCCAAAGTACTTTGCGTGAGAATTCAGATTGTGTGAGATCATTTGTGGCAAGCCTGGTATAAACGAAGTCTTTTCATCTCATTCAAATATAAAAATTATGAATATTTTTTTTTGTTATCATAACTGCTGGGATCATGACTTGCAGAACTTTGTGGATCTGGCTGGAAGTGAAAGGGCCTCACAGACACATGCAGAGGGTGCTAGGCTCAGGGAAGGTTGTCATATTAACCTCAGCTTGATGACTCTGACAACCGTAATCAGAAAACTTAGGTCAGAATCTATCTTAGCACTCTTGTATTACCTGACCTGACTCTGTTCCTTCACTGGTCTTACAATGTTTTATTCAGTCTAGAGTAAGCTCTTCATAATATGAACTCAAATAAAAATGATTTACACAACATAGAAATTTCATTCTATCTGTTCTTGTCTCTGGTAATTTCAAAAGCTAACTTGTGCCCAGAAAACTAATATCTTGAACATGATGTGATTTGCGAGCTGCTATATCTGTAAAATGCTTATTTGTTGATTACCTGCATGTTAGCTATATTGAGTCAGCTGCTCAAGCAATCATATGACCATAATCTGTGGCAGAACTAGCTTTTCCCAGGTTGCTATTAGATCTTCCTGACAAAGTTTATTGATCCTATAATGCATGGTGGATCTGAAACTTTCCATGCCCACCTTTAGTTTCTATTGTATTTTAAATCATTATTGATTTTCTTCTGTTTGTGAACAATTTTTCTTTAGTGTTGGAAAAAGAAGTGGTCACATACCATACCGAGACTCAAAGCTTACTCGCATACTGCAACATTCACTTGGTGGGAATGCACGTACAGCTATCATTTGTACTTTGAGTCCGGCACTAAGCCATGTTGAACAATCTCGAAATACACTCTTCTTTGCTACCCGAGCAAAGGAAGTGACGAACAATGCCCAAGTCAATATGGTACTATTCTTTCTTTCCAAATTTTATGTTACCATTATGATTTCCATATGGCTGCAATGATACTGATCTTTTCTTCTCTGAAAATACCAACAGGTTGTTTCAGATAAGCAGCTGGTGAAACATCTGCAGAAGGAAGTAGCCAGGCTAGAAGCAGAGCTGCGTACCCCTGATCCTTCTAAGGAAAAAGACTTAAAAATCCAGCAGGTGATTAGCCATTCAGAATTGTCTTGGTTCTGATTTATATCATACAGATAATAATCTATAATATCATCTCATCTTCTTTCCTCATTTTGTTCTCTAGATGGAAATGGAAATTGAAGAACTGAGACGCCAAAGAGACCTTGCACAATCTCAGGTGGATCAGTTACGCAGAAAACTGCAGGACGATCAGCAGGTTCTGTTCTTTCTCCCTTGTTGCCTCTTTCTATCTGTCCCTCTAATTAAGAGCATAAACTGATGTTTTAAATTTTTCATAAATGACAGAGCTCAAAGCTGCCTGAATCACCTCATCCATCAGCAAAGAAGTGTTTGTCTTATTCTGACGCTTTGTCACCGAAGTTGGAAGGAAAGGAGCCGAGCCACAATGATAAAACAAGGAAAACAATGCTAAGGCAGTCTATGAGGCAATCATCAACTGCTCCTTTTACACTTATGCATGAAATTCGAAAACTTGAACACCTTCAAGAGCAGCTTGGAGCAGAAGCCAATCGAGCTCTAGAAGTACTTCAAAAGGAAGTGGCTTGTCATAGATTAGGTAACCAAGATGCTGCTGAGACTATTGCCAAGCTGCAGGCAGAAATAAGGGAAATGTGTGCTGCCCAGTCAGTTCCAAAGGAAGTTGAAGTTGAAACTATGGTGGCCCCTAACAAAAGCGTTAGTGCTAATCTCAAGGAGGAAATAACTAGGCTTCATTCACAAGGCAGCACAATTGCTAATCTTGAGGAGCAACTGGAGAATGTTCAGAGGTCAATTGATAAGTTAGTAATGTCTCTGCCAACCAAAGATCAACAATTTAATGGTGAAGCAACCCCTAAAGCTAAGAATCAGTCTAAAAGGAAGAAGTTGTTGCCTTTAAGTTCTAGTAGTGTTGCCAACCGGCAAAACTTTATAAAATCTCCTTGCTCACCTTTGTCAGCTTCTCGGCAAACAATGGAGCCTGAGAATGAAGAAAATAGAGCTCCAGAGAATGATGACATAGTCTCCAGAGAGATTATCCAAGAATCTGACAAAGAGACTCCTAGTAAGAGTGAAGAGGGAGGAGATGTCTCATCAAAGGAAGGTACTCCAGGAACTCCAGGATATCGGCGTTCCAGTTCAGTTAACATGAAAAAAATGCAGAAAATGTTTCAGAATGCAGCTGAAGAGAATGTAAGAAGTATACGAGCATATGTTACAGAACTGAAAGAACGTGTTGCTAAACTGCAATACCAGAAGCAGCTACTTGTTTGCCAGGTCAGACAATCATTTTCCTCTCTATACTTCTTTATCATCTATTTTGTGTTTCATTTACAGGTAATTTATTTCCTTGCCTTATTGTCCATTTAGGTGCTTGAGCTTGAAGCAAATGAAGCAGCTGGATACAACATAGAGAATGATGAAAGTACAACTGAGATAGAGGAGTCCCAAGTTGCATGGCACGTAACATTTAAGGAGCAAAGGCAGCAGATTATTGAGTTATGGGACGTGTGCTTTGTCTCCATCATCCATAGGACACAATTTTATTTGCTATTCAAAGGCGACCCTGCTGATCAAATATACATGGAAGTGGAGCTTAGGCGCTTAACTTGGCTGCAACAGCATTTCTCAGAACTTGGAAATGCAAGTCCTGCCCAAGTAGGAGATGAACCTACAGTTTCTTTGTCATCAAGGTACTATCTCTCATCACTTAAATCTTATTGCCATATGCATTGCTATTGTTTTTAATCAGTCATGAATGCTAAGTTGTGAATTCTTTGTTCATTTTGCTATGCAGTATGAGGGCTTTAAGGCGTGAAAGGGAATTCCTTGCAAAGAGGTTGTCTTCTCGCTTAAGTCTAGAAGAGAGAGATGCATTGTACATTAAATGGGATGTACCACTGGAGGGGAAGCAGAGGAGACTGCAATTTATAAGCAAGCTCTGGTCAGATCCTCATGATGCCAAACATATAGAGGAGAGTGCTCAAATAGTGGCAAAGCTTGTAGGATTCTGTGAAGGGGGCAACATGTCAAAGGAGATGTTTGAGCTTAATTTTGCACTACCAGCTGATAAGAGGCCATGGATCATGGCGTGGAATCCAATTTCAAACCTTCTTCATATGTGATACAATGCGTTTTTGTTTGTAACTAGTGCCCATTGTTTACATGTAAATGAAGTTTGGAGCTCTTTCTCCAAACATGCTACTTTCCAGTCACAGTCCGGACAATCAAGTGCATGACAATGATTTGGCATGCTATTCTTTGTATTCTTTCATGTTTCAATAAAGGAAATTGATTTCCATTTCATTTTGTTCTTCTTTTTCCTTGTCTCCATGCTCCTCCTTATTGCAAAGACTCTTTCAAGTCTCAAAACTTCCCTATAGCTTTTTATCCTAATATTAGGGGAAAAATAAAAATAAAATAAAATAAAATAAAATAAAATAAAATAAAATAAAAAACTTGTTCTTGATTTAATTGCTTGAGAGATCAATCTGTATAAAGGAAAAGGTTCTAAAACTTTTTTTTGATGGTCAGGTTTTAAAACTTCTTGTAATACCCCAAGAATTTTCCCTATTATGTACATTTTCACATTGTCTTGTAGAACCGTTTAATTGCTAAAAGGCTTTAGGGGCAGTGAAGAGAGTTAAAATGTCCGACGGGGTACAATCCATCCAGAAAGAATCCTCTTCTCCTCCTCTCCTGACATACTATGTCTTTTCTAGAGAAGATGAGAATTTTTTTTTTTTCTCTCTCTTAAATCAAGTCTAAAGTATAATTACTACTCTAAAGACCCAAAACCACCATTTCTGAAGACTTGGCAACCACTCTCAGAAACACACATACAAACACAGAAGGAGGGAGAGATTGAAATGGTCCAATACTGATTTCCCATAACTGATATAGTGGTTCTCCAATAACGTTATTATGATACATGTAATAGACACCCATGAAGAGACTAGAACTGGTGACAACTAAAACCATAACCCAACAATATTTCCACCACAACTAGCTAGTGCCCTCTACTACAAACCAGCAGCACAACAGAGATATTTATGAAAATAATAACACACAACTATGATAAACTATTTCTCTCCTTTCTCCCAACCCCATGAGCTTGTGGTGGTATGGAGAGAAACATGAAAGAAGAGATCCATCCATAGAGGGTTTTGGATTTGGTAATGATGACTTAGCACTTTGGGAAGGGAGTTCCACAAGTACTAGCAACCTTCCTGGCATTTGGGGTGTTGATAAACTTCTTGAGGTTAGGGTTCTTTACGTACTGGCAAAGGCAAGGCTTCTGTTCCTTGATCTTGCTGCAGCAGAGCTGGGATGGTGGCTGTGATGATGTTATCGCGCTCACACATGAGCTTAGTTGTGTCGGGCTGCATGTCACTGCTGTTGAAACCTGAACTTGAGCCAAGAGAAGCACCACTAGCAGTGTGCAAACTGCAATGTATGTTGCCTTCATTTTTCACTTGGTGTCTTAACTGGTGAAACTTGATTGTTGTTTCTGTGAGGGAAAGAGAGAGATAAGAGAGATTTTGAGGTGTTTGATGCATTTGTGCTTGGGTTTGCCTCTCAATTTATAGAGGGAAAGGTTGGTGGAAGTGAACGTCCAAAACACCAATCAAGAGTGAATGGAAATTCCCCTTACAGTTTCCCTTACCCCTAACAAAATGGTAGTAGCCATCATGTAATGAAAGAAACAAAATTTGAGTTTGGCCCACTTCCATGAATATGTTATTTTCGGTGCCTAATTAAAATAGGATATTCATTGACTACTGTGATGAGTTGGTCAAGAGGTAAAGAATAGTTTGAATCATATTTAAAATATAAGTTTAAATTCTATCAAAATCATTTAAACACAAACAATTCTAATAATTTACACTTATCACTTTAAAATAGTGATTTGTCTAGTATTTATAGACGAGTGATTTATAAATATCTATGGAACTAGTTGGATCAAATAATTGGTTATTAATGTGAAATAAATACAATATTGACTACTTGAGATCTGAGCATCAAAGAATAATTGAGCTCCAATTTCTTGCAGCCTCGGTGACTTCGATTCAAACATTCAACAGTGATAAAGTTTTAGGACAATGAAAAAATTCATGCTCTGGTTTGAACTCGTTGAAAACCAAAGAGTTTCGGCCCAGAAATTGTATGACAGTTCATGCTTGGATAGCAATAAACTCCCATTAAGCCCTGCTTTCATATTACGGGCCGTTTAAGATATTAAACTCTTTTTTTTTTTTTATGCATGAAAGGATCAATTAGAAAAATTTTAAGTGTTAACAATTTAAATAACTCAATTACAATTTTTATTTTTTATGGAAGTAAAAAATCTTGAATCTTGAGTTTGAGTCCTATAATATGTAAATAAGATAAATTAAGAGATATAAAAAAATTACCTCTCACTATACAAGATTAAAATACATATACATATACATACATTTTCTATAAGAAGTTTAATCCATAAAGCCAGATATAAAAGGCTTATGCAAGAAACTCAAGCCTTGCAAGAATAAGAAAGCTAAATAAATCCGAAAAAAAAAAAAAAAAAGAGAGAGAAAAGAATGAATGAGAAAGCTACTTTCTTTCATGAACATGTAGTATAAAAGCATGAATGCTGTCCCTACTCATCATTGATTCAATTTCTTCCCTGTTGATTGCAAAACATCAAACATTCCAACTTTTGCAAACCCTTCCAGCTCTGCCTTTCGGCGAGTTTGTTTTTTTCCCCTTACCTTGTGCAACCAACACAGTTCCATCATTAATCTGACCTACATTTCAATTTCACCTTTCAACTTTAATCACAATCTTAATCACTTATCTCAATCAATATTTATCGCAGGCCTCAGTGACGCTATCAAGAATCTTTACTGGGATTACTGGTGATAGGGTAAAAGCAGGATGCTTTTTCAGTAAAATGTGCAAAGCAGGTACAAATGATTTTCTCTTGAAAACAAAACAAACCCAAGTACCTCCTCAATAGACTATTTTCACTTTGACACACACAATTATTGATATACTTCTTAGTGGGGATATTCAGTGGTCCACATAGACTATATTCACTTTGATACACACAATTATTGATATGCTTTGTTGGTGAAGACATTCAATGGTCCACCAAAAGATTAGTTCAATAATTTCATGCATCTTGACATATTTAAGCCACTTTTTACACTCATACTCTCCCATATCACTCACTAACACTTCCACTTTCACTTGTGAGTCGTAAAAGGCTAACGTGAAAGACATCTAGTGGTCCATCACATGCCTTGACACTATTTTAAATCCAAAATATTAATCCAGTAGTTTCATGGGTCTTGATGTATTTAGCCACTCTTTACATTCATATTTTTTTGACATCAGCCTCTAGTTTACACGCTCACAAAGGAATAACATACTTCAACAGAAACATGTGAACAAGAGTAGTAAACAAAAGCACATATTACATATGGTAAACTTAGAAGAAAAATGGGGATGGCAAATGCCTTCACCTTGTTGCCAAGTGCCTGCCATCATTCTACCTACTTTATCTAAACAAAGAAAAGCATGTTTATCAGATCCTGGTTGCATTTCGGCTATGATCGCCACAGAATCTAAAACAGTCTAAGATCACTGGCACGGCCTAAACAATTAAAGCTGATGAATATTGTACTCCCATTTTCATCAGGCAAAGGAGAATGCATAGAGAGTATCAGATTTGATCGTTTATCTGTCTTATAGTACAAAAGTAAAGGGTAACAAAAAAGAATAGATCAGATAAGATTTGATCATCCATCTGTCTCCAAGGACTGTGTGAGGGTCCATCCCAAGTCAAATTGTAATGCTTAATATCATTACATGGGACCCTTAAAAATCATTCTAATTTCAACTTTTCATCTTCACGCTTCATTTTAATTAATCTAGTCAAGATTTACATTCCTTTGTAGTGCTTTCACAATGATTAGCGAGTATCTCGCTACAACAGCTACCATCACAAAATCATACTCCAATCCATCCCTACTTCTCAATGTCGGGACATAAAAGTTCCTAATATTAGCCTTTCTACATAATTACACACTATTCTATTAGATCTAGGTAAAAACGGGTGATAACCCTACCATCCTTTTACAATATTATTTGTTCTTATATTTTCTTTATGAAGCATAAGCAAAAGCAGTACTTCACATGTTTACATTTCTGGATTATCAAAAGAAAAGTTGTTGTTTAATGCATAAAATTTAAATTTAGATAAATCTGAGTCGACCTATTGGATTTTACATGCTAAGTATCTTATAATATTGGTGTGAATAAAAAAAAATGAATGTTGTAGAACATGATCGTTATATTCACCATGTGGATAATAATTAGGCATGCAATGCAAATGCAATATCTCCCACCTACAGAAAGTGGGTTGAGAAAGGAGCAGTCTATAATCATTTGTAAAGTTTATTCATTTTGACATTGAGCAAAAGAAATATTTTCATTTGCAGCATGAATTATACAATCTAAAATTACCTGATCCTGAAATGCTTTATTTTTACCAAAATAAACCATCTTTTTCTCACCCAATTTTGAGTATGAATGACAAAACTTTTAAAGACCAGGCATTTGAATCAAGAGTGGGCAGCAAGAACACAAGTTGAGTCAAGAAGGACACAAACTTTTATGGTAAAAACCCTACTTAAGCCCCCAAACTTATCCCAAAATAACATTTAAACCCCTAAACTAAAAACAAAGCAGATAAATCCTTCAACTCCAATAACGATGCAAATAATCCTTTCTCACAAACGCACCAAACGGCATTTTATGTTTAATATCACATTGAAAGCATGGACACCTATGAATGAAAAAGGTTTATTTGCATTGTTAGTAGAGTTGGAGGGTTTATTTACTTCATTTTTAGTTTAAGAGCTTAAATGCTATTTTGGGATAAGTTTGGAGGTTTAAGAAGGTTTTTTGTCAAAGCAGATGATGGAAAAAGAAAAAAGAAAGTCTGCTTCTCGTTCTTGGAAGAACTTTCATACCTTATAACGTGTTTTATAATTTTTTACATTTTACACGTTAATATCATTGTTAATGTGTGGAAAGTAGAATATTAATGATTCTATAATGATATTTCTTTACTTTTAATTTTAGGATAAAACCTTATATTAAGCCTTTAAGCTTATCTTAGATTTTTTATGAAGTCCCTTAATTTTTATTAAAACAAATAAGTTTTTAAATTTGGTAATCAAGGCAATTAACCTTTTTTTTCTTTTTTTCTTTTTTTTTTTTATAGTAGATTTAATACTTGTTTGTGCCACTCGTGGGTAAAATATTAATATGTCAATATCTACACAGTGAGTATTAACATTATCTGTGCAAATCAAGCATAAATGTGTATTAAAAACAGGGTTAGTTTGCTAACATCACCAAGTTCAAGGAGCTTATTAATTTGTTTTAATAAAAGTCTAGGGGTTTAATAAGAGCCTAGGATAAGTTCAAGAGTATAATGCAAGGTTTTGCTTAATTTTGACATTTGAAAAATAGAATTTTCATTATTTTATATTTAAGTTTGTCCATCTTTAATTTTTAACATGTGAAAAAATATGTAGAATACTCATTACTTTGTGTTGATGTTTGTCCATCTTTAATTTTAATATGTGACAATAGAATATTCATGATTTTATGTTGATATTTGTCTATTCTAATTAACTTATAATGTATGGAAAGTAGAATATTCACAACTTTGCGTTAATACGTCTGTGTCCATCCTTAATTATAAGGTTAAAACCCCTTTTTGGTCCCTCAACTATTGTATGGACCCCTGATTTGGTCCCTGAACTCAAAAAATCCCTGATTTGGTCCTTACTGTTTACCATTTTTATCCCAATTTGGTCATTCCATTAAAAATTTAATGATGTGTCCAGTTAACTAACGGAAAATGATGACATGTCAAAAATTATTACAGATCAATACCATGTCATTAAAACACGTTAGATTTCAGCCAACAAAAAAAAATGTGGGGCCCACCTCCTGCAAAAATCATTATCTTCTCTCCTTCTTCCCATTCACACCCTGGATTCTTCGAACCCCAGGCGCTGGGTTCCCTCGAACCCGTGCCTGGGTTCCTTCAAGAACCTAGCTGCTGGGTTCTTCGAAGGAACCCAGCGCCTGGGTTCGAAGAACCCAAGCGTGGGTTTGAAGAATCCAGCAGGCTTGGGTTCTTTGAACCCGCGCCTGGGTTCTTTGAACCCGCGCCTGGGTTCGAATCCAAGCCTGGGTTTGAAGAACCCAGCAGGCTTGGGTTCTTCGAACCCGCGCCTGGGTTCTTTGAAGGAACCCAGACTCTAGTTTCTTCAACAAAAAAATAAATAAATAAATTCTTTATTTTTGTGGGTGTTGTTTGAT